TCATTTCTTATAGCATAACAGTATCCCATCACACAACTTGTTCAGCAGTTTCCCCAATTGAGGGTCATCCTCTCAATTTCCAATTCTTTGTCACCACAAAAAGAGCTGCTATGAATATTTCATTTTTCATGATTATAGATAGCTTTGATTTCTTCTTCTGAAAACTGTCTGTTCATATCTTTTGACCATTTATCAATTGGGACATGAGCTGAACCAGTTTTCAAACAGGAATCTCCTCTACTGTGTCACTCAGCAAATGGCCATCTGGCTCTAGCTTGGAGACCTCCACTGGACGAGGACCCAGGACCACCTGAAGAGGCCCGTTTCGCTCTGAGAGAGCTGCAGGTGCTGGGAAGTATTTTCTGAACATCAAGTCTAAGTCTGCCTCTTTGCAACATCCATCCACACATTGTTCCTTGTAGCTCTTCCCTTGAGGGCCAAAGGGCAGGGAAGGAAATAAGCATTTATATAGCACCTACTGTGTTCCAGGCACTATACTAAGTTCTTTTCACAAATACTTCATTTGATTTTTGCAACAACTCTGTGGGTTAGGTGCTGTTATCACCCCCATTTTACAATCAAGAAAACTGAGGAAAATTCGTCTATCAAACTTGTAGCGAACTGGGTGGCTTTTTTGTTTATTAGGACATAAGATCTTACGGGAATAATGGAAGGCAGTCTTTCAAAAAGTAGATTTAGACCAACTTACACTGTATTCCATTATAAATTCAAGATAAAAACACATCCTCAACATTGAAGATTATGCCTTCAAGAATTCGATGAGAAGCGGATGGTATATGTTTTGGAGCTGTGGGTAGGAGATAGGTTCTTTGCCAAAACAACAGGGATTGAGGTCGTTACAAAAGATAAAATAAGGCATTTCTCATTACATTAAATGGAAAAGCTTTTGCTCAAATGGAATTAAGGCATCTAGAATAAGAAGGGAGGCAAGTGAGAACAATTTTTATCAGATTTCTTGGATAAGGTTTGGTACTCAAGATATATAGACAACTATATATAACAGAAATATGGAATCACAGAAGCCATTCCCCAGTATATAAGTGGTCAGATGCTACAGGAACACACTTCTCAAAAGAAAAATTGCAGAGTGTTCACAACCACATGAGAGAATGTGCTAAATCATTTATCACAAGAGAACTACAAATCAAAACAGCCCTGAGGTTTCACTTCACACACTTCACAAATTGGCAAAGACTGGCATAGTCAGTGTTGGAGGGGCTGTTGGAAGATAGGCACGCTAATATGTTATTGGTAAAACTGTGAATTAGTACAACCCTACTGGAAAACAATGTGAAATTATGCAAATAAAGTGACTAAAATGTCCATACCCTTTGACCCAAAGATCCCACTGCCAGGCATATATCCTAAGAAGGTCATTGACTCCCCCCCAAAAAAAGGGAAAAAAAAGACTCTATAACCAAAATCTTTATCACAACACTTTCTGTCATAGGAGAGAACTGAAACAAAATAAGATAACTGCCCTGTCATTAGGCAACGGCTAAACAAATTGTGGGGCATGAATCTAAGTGTGGTTTCTAAAATGGTGAAATGCAGAATGCTGGATACAGGAGCCAGGGACAACTTACCCGAACTGATGCAGAATGAAGAAAAGAGTCAAGAAAAAATATACACACACAATGCCTACAATTCTGGAAATGAAAGAGCGATTACAAAACAATAAAAAAGGAATGGTACAGAGTTAAAATGAGCAAATCTGACCCAGAAGAAGAGCTGGAAGAAAACCTGCCCCTTCACTCCTCTGCAGTGGTGGCAGGCCCGCAGGTGTGAAATACATTTGTTGTCAGGTTGTTTTAGTGTTCATTTTTGCTCATTTTTTTCCCCTCCTTCCCTCTTTAAAAAAATTCTTTTCACTAAGGGATGGCCCTTAGTGAGAAGGAGGTGGAAGGATACACGCTGTACCAAACGCCCTTGGTAACAGAGACCTGAGGAGGAGAAGGAGGGGGTGGGGGAAAGGAGGATGTAAGTGTTGGGTCTGAGACGTCTCCAGGACAGCCAGTTTGAGATGTCCAACAATTGGAGAAAGATTGGCGGTCAGGGGGGAATGACTATGAGGCAGGTCATGGAATCAAATAAGCATCTGTCACTCTCACTAAGGGCCAGGTGTTGCACCAGGTGCCAGGAACACAAAGACAAAGGGGAAAGTCCTTGCCTTCAGTGAGTTTACCATCTATCGGGGAATGAACCGGAGAGAGACAATAAACACGTTCGTCCTTACACCTCCCTCCTGATTGATATCCTGCTCTGTTGACTACTTAGGAGCCTCAGCTGTTTGGTGGTACAAGTCACCTGGAGTCAGGCAGACCCAAGTTCAAATCTGAGCTGAGAAATTTCCTAGCTTCGTGACTCTGGATGAGTCACTTTACCATTTTACTTTACCACTTTTACTTCAGTACAGTATCTGGCACATAGTAGCTACTTAATAAGCACTTCTTTCCTTCCTTCCCTGGCCTTTTACTTATCTGCCACCACACCTCCAGTCCCTCCCCTCCCATTCTCCTTTCTAGTTCTGGAACACTAAGTAAACCTCACTCATCCTCTCTATCATTTTCAAAAGCAAAACAATCCTCCTCACAATGCCCCCTATCTGTGTTCCTGTTCGAAGGTAAGATCCCTGAAGCCAAAGACTATGCTTGATTTTGTACACATATCCCTATGCCTTTGCACAGCACCTGGTGGGTAGTAAACTTTATCTGTGCCCTTTCATTCATTCATTCATTTGTTCATTCAAATATACACCAAACACATGCAGATTGAATAGGATCAGTTGTTTGGGGGCAGAGGGCTCTGGCAGCTTCCTGTAGAAGCTGGCATTGGGGCTACTCTGCCAGTCCCTTGTGGACAGACCTCGAGCAAGTGACCTCCTGTCCAGACTATAGATTTTGCCTTTATGGAGTCATTGAGCCTGATGTCTAATAGAGAGCAGGCAAAGGATAAAGTTCAGGAGGCCAAGAGAGGCATAACCCGGGACAAGTGTTGGGGATCACTGGCCGGTCTAACTCCCTTGGGCACATATCAGTGTCTGAGCATGAGCTGGGAGGGTCCCAGTAGGTCAGCCACTAGGAGCCTGCCCTGGCTGGTGATTGAGTGGTCAACTAATAAATGTATCCCGAAAACCTTGTGGGCCCTTCCCCTTGAATCAAGGGAACTTTGGATGTCTGCCTTGTAACAGGTCACCTCAAAAAGAGCCAGAGAGAAAATGAAAGTCCCCTCCAGACACAGTCCTTGTCCCCAAAGGCACAAGCAACAAGCTTGTTCTCAGTCTTGGTCTGGCTGCTTTGTGTGTCCCCTGCCCCCACCTCTCTGCTCCCGGCCACAGCTTGGTGGTTTATAGGTCAACAGCGAAAAAGCTCTCTCTCGTTGGGCTGCAGAGAAAGCCTTTTCTAAAAACAGCAACCAAGGTGAGGCCAACCGTGCAGCTACAGGCGTTGCTAAGGAGTCCCCCAATCACCTCAAACTGGGTGCCCTCCAGAACAGGTCTCTGGCTTCAGACCAGGGTCTGGCTTGTACGGAATTCTGTGGCTAAATGCTCACCTGCTGAGCACCTTAGAGGCCTTCAGGGGCCATCTTACCCGTAGCTCCCTCCCTGTATCTCTGTACTCCACCCTTCCCCTTGGGTAGCCATTTGCTAATAACTCTCCTCCTGAAACAAGGACCTCGGTTACCTGCAAGACAAACAGATCCTCCTCCGATGAGATTCCTCCAGACAGAGGTGGATCTGTGTGATAGGTGGCCTCTCGTGGGGTTGGGGGTCCCTTCCCTACTAGCTATAGTGAAGGGACTAGATTATTGAGGGCCTCATGGACAAGCCAGTTCTTGAGAATCTCATCTCCAAAAAGTCTAGGCACAAAGATGGAGCACATTCTGTCTCTGTCTCTCCTCACCCCACCTTCTCATTTCATCCCATCTTCCAGCTCCAGGATAAGGGGCTCTCCACTCACCCCTTACAATCACAGGGTCCCACTAGAGAGGTGATAGGTCATCTGCCATCCAGCACAAATTTGGGGACCTGCAGGGGGAAGTAGGGGTGGGAGGGGAGCTGGGGCCTAAGGGGAGGTCACTTAATGAGGCCCAAGGCCGAAGCCGGCCGTTGGCTGTCTCCACCCACCAATGCCCTTCCCGAGCCCACACCTACTCCCAAGCACAACCCCGTCTCTAAAGCAGGCAAGTGACCCTCCTCAGTTCGTTACCAGCTGCCAGCAGGTGCAGGCCTTTTTCCTGGCTTTATGAAAGCGCCCTCCTCTGTTCTCCCCCACCCTCCACTCCCACCCCCTTTCTCTGGCCCGGAAGGCAGCTTCAAGCACAGGCTTTGAAGAACACCCCTGGCTTTCTGCTGTCTGGGGGCAGGTTTCCAAGGGAACTAACCTAGAAGAAAGGGAAGCCCCTGGCCAGGGCTCTAGCCACCTGGGCAGATCCTAAAGCTGCTGCTGTGGGGCCAAGTTTGGGCTGCTCATGGGAAGGAGCGAAGAGGAGCCAAGGAGAGGAGACCAGACCCAAAGAAGTATTTAAGTCTTTATTATTATCAACGGTGTTGGTATGACTGAAACGGCAGTGGTACAGACCGGCTCAGGAATCACGGAAGCAGATTTGTCTTTTCAAGTAAAAAAAAAAAAAATACCAGAAGCCTAGAGCCCGGGTTCCTTTAGGTGGAGAGTTGGGCCTGAGCTCTGGAGGAAGGACCCTGCCTGCCCACCTGCCTGGGCTGCTCGGCTGCAGGCTTGGCCTCTCCACCTTCCCCAGAGCCAAACTGAGGGTCATCGAGATCTGCCATAAATAGGGAATTAAGTTATTAGCACGTATAACTTCTTACACTTTTGTACAAATATACATTGGCTGGGCACGGAGTTTCCAGCAGAGATTACACATTTTATATAAATGATTTCTTAAAGCTCTCGCACTTTGGGACCAGCTACTCACATCAGGCGTATAAACAATTTCTACATAAAACTTAATACATTGCACGGTTGTCAAACTTTTTTTTTTACTGGGTTTTTTTTTTTTTTCTTAAACACTGCCCGGGGGGGCGGGCTGCAGGCTCAGCCGTCGGCTGCTACATCAAAGTACAAAGCAGGTCGGTCCTTCTGAGGGCTTGCTTGAAGGGAGGCGGTTCCCGGTTGGACAGCTGGCTCACCCGATCAAGGGAGGGCTGCCCCCTCCTCCTGCACCTGCCCTCTCCTCCAGGGTGCAGGGAAGTCTGAGTGGAGGCCATCGGCAGGCTGCTCGGATACAAGCTGCCGGAGACACAGAGAGGAAGATCAGAAACTGAAAGGCTGCCCCGAGGCCACAAGCGAGCTGTGGGCTGCAGAGCCGCCCTCTGGGACCAGCGCAAAACTCACCTTATTTACCGACTGCGCTTACAGGGCCTCTGCTCCGACGGAGGGGCGGCCGAGCGGGCTCGACGCGCGCGGCGGACACGGCGAGTGCGGCCGGCTGGACTGTCCCGGCCTGAGCTGCCCGCCGAGCTGTCCGAGCCCTCCGGGCTCGAAGGGGCGGGCTCCGGGCTCCGCCCGCGGGCCACACCGCGGGCCAGGTGAAAAGGTTTGAAGGCCCGGGGCCTCTTGCGCTTCACAAAGAAAGCTGCGAATAAACATACAACAGATCAGGGAAAGCCTGGGCTTAACCCGACGGTTAGCCTAGGCGAGCTCTGGGAGCCCGCCCCGACCGGCTTCTAGTGGACAGGTGAGAATCCCCAGCCCCGGCCTTTTCCCCCCCTAAACCAAAAGCTCGAGGTGGCTCCCTCCATGCCACTACCCGCTTTCAAAGCACCGCCCGCCCGACCGTCGGGCTCGGCTTCGGAGCTTGCGCTGCTCTTGAAGTAAAGCTCTGGCCCTTTAATCCACCCGGGTGGGGTCACTTTCTGGCCCCGCCCACAGGCTCCACCAGCAAAGAGTCGGAGCCGGGCCAGCGACCGGGACCGCCTCGACAGCCGCCCGGGGGCGCGGCCAGGCTCACCTGTGATCAGGGCATTGCTGGCGGGGGCGCCGGCTCGGGCCGTCGCCAGAATGGTGAAGCCCGAGTCCAGGGCGAGGTCGGCGTCCAGAGGGAGCTCATCCGCGATGGCCACGACGGGGGCATCGGCGGCGCTCTCGGGCCCCGGGCCCTCGTCGTCCGGGGCACAGCCGGGCGCCGGGCGCAGCACCAGCAGCGGGAAGCGGCTGCGGCCCACCTGCACCGTCTCGCGGTAGAAGGCGGGCACCGTGTGCTCGGCCACCTCCTGCCACTGCAGGCGGCCCGGGCCCACGAGCGGCCTGTCGCTCTGGAAGTTGTAATCCCAGCGGCGCTCGTCCTCGGCACTCATCTCGGCAAGCTTGCCCACCAGCTCACGGCCCAGCTCCTCGTGGTCCACGGGCCCGAAGAGGGTGCGGCACACGCCCGCGCTGGCCTCCACCGGGAACGCCCGACGGTCGCCCATCAAGTCCGTCCCTGCGGGGAAACTAGCAGACGGTCAGGCGGCCGCGGAGGGAGGGACGGACGGACGGGACGGGCGCGGAGCGGCGGGGCGGCACAGGGCAGACCCGACGGGACGGGGCGGAGGTGGGGGTGATGGGGAGCGGAGGAGAGGACCGAGGAGGAGGAGGAGGTGGTGGCCAGGCCAGGCCCTGCAGGGGGCGGGGGGGTAGCCCAAGCTGGCCGGCAGGCCGAGGGAGAGAGCGGAACAGCGGCTCGTGGTCAGCAGACCCTCGGGCTGGCGGGCGGGCGCACGCCCTAGTCCTGGGTGCCCCAAGGGGCCCCCTCCGAGCCCACTTCCTACTCACTTGTCCAGTCTGCTCCGACGCTGTGGGGGTGGGGGCGGCTCGAGCCGTCCGGTCCGCGGCAGCCGCAGGCGCTGGTACAGGCGGGCGCTGGGCACAGGCGGGCACCGGGCAGCGGCGGCTACCGCGGCAGCAGAAACAGCAGCAGCAGCAGCAGAAGTGGGGCCTCGGCGCTGCGCTGCCGCCTGCGCCGCACCCCTTTATACCTGCGCCGCCCCACCCCCCCCCCGGCCCCCCCCCCCCGCAGGGCGCCCGCGCCATTAGCATAATAGTATTTTCTGTTTAGACAACACGGCTGCCATTGGTCCCCCCGGGCGCGCGCGGCCCCGCCCCCACCCGCTCCCCATTGGCCCCCGGAACACACCCCCCGGGGGGGAGCGGGCGCCCCACGGCCTCAGGCGGGGGCCACGGCCCATTGGAAGGCGGGCCGGCCGCGCGCTCCTGCCGGGAAGGGGGGGAAGCGGGGGTAACGTGACACCGGCCTTACCCCACTCCCTCTCTGCATCCCCCCCCCGTCCCCCACCGGGCCCCGCCCCGCCCCGCCCCTCCCCCCAAGTCCTGAGCTCTTTGTCTGCAGGCGGGGGCTCGGCCGCGGGACGCGGGACCCCTCCCTTCCCCTCCCTTCCCTCCGCCCCGCTCCGCTAGCTCTTCCCCCTTTCCTTTTAAGGCTTCAGAGAGGCTCCCGGAGGCTGCGGGGGGGGGGGGGCGGGGGCGGAGGAACCCCCGCACTCCTCCCCTCTCTCCTCCACCCCCGTACCGGACGCCTTTGCTGCCCCTAGGGCTTGGAAGTTTGGGGTTCGGCCGAGGCTCAGAAGGAAAGAAAGGCTGAGCCTGTCCCTTTGTGTGTGCCCCCCCATCCCCAGCCTGGGGTTTCACCGTGGCCTCTGTGGAGCCCCAGCTCTCTAACTGGCGACTGCCTCTGCCTCTGTTCCTGCTGCCTCTACTTCCCTGGGACCCAAAGTTCCGAGAGTTCTCGCCTTCTTTCTCGGTCCTCTCTCTGTCTCTCTCTTTCTGTTTCTCTCTGTCTCTCTCCCTTTCTGTCTGTCTCTTCTCTGTCTCCTCTCTCTGACTCTCTCTGTCTCTCTGTCCCTGTCCCTGTCTCTCAGTTTCTCTGTCTTTCTCCTCTCTCTGTCTCTCTGTCTCTGTCTCTGTCTATTTCTCTGTCTCTGTCTCTCAGTTTCTCTGTATCCTCTCTGTCTCTCTGTGTCCCTCTCTGTGTCTCTCTCCCTTTCTGTCTGTCTCTTCTCTGTCTCCTCTCTCTCTGATTCTCTGTCTCTCT